GTCCATTACAGGTTACTTGATATATCTTGGCTCTAATTTACTTTCTTGGAGTACGGAGAAACAAAGTCGTGTCTCACGCTCGTCCACCGAGGCCGAGTACAGAGCCCTCTCGGCCGCAGCAGCTGAAGTGATGTGGCTCACCTACTTGTTTGACATTTTACAGATCAAGCTCCCTCCTCCACATCTTCTATGCGACAACCAGTCCACCATCTGTCTGACTAAGAATCCAGTCTTCCATAAGCGCATGAAACATGTCGGAACGGATTGCCACTTTGTTCGAGAACAAGTAATTGCAGAGAAAATGACAGTCTCTTATGTTCCTTCTAATGAGCAGCTGGCAGACCTTCTCACAAAAGCTCTTGCCTCGCCACGCTACACTGCATTGGTTGCCAAGCTTCCTCTCGTTTCACGGCGTTCAGCTTGAGGGGGGATGTTAGACATATATGGAAAGAAGTCTAGTTATAGTAGAATTGTTATTTATGTTAGTTTACTTATTTGGTGAATCCTAGTCCATGTAGGGATCCTCACCTATATAAACATCCATGTACACAATTATTCCTTAAGAGTGAATTCATAAATCAACATAACCGATAAATCAAGGATTTAATATAATACTACTTTCTTTTAATCATACTATATATAGTGTTTATAAGCTTCATATCATCACCACATTTTAATCCTAATCACTTTTATATCATCAAACCATAAGAAGGAAATTAAATTAGGGTAGGGGCCGGGAGGAAGAAAGAATATAAAAACATACGCCAAGGACATGACGGCGGCGGCGAGGGAGATAAAGGCGATGGAGTTGAAGCTGGGGAGGTGGGAGAGGACGAAGTGAACCGACCCGAAGATCATGATGAAGTAAGTCCGCCGGAGCGGTTTGCACGTTGGGCAAACCGTTTCCACGAACTTCTTCAGAGACGTGCCACCGGTGACCATGTACACGATGTTGACTCCGACCTGGACCATCAGCTGCTGCGGGACCACCACGTAGAGCCCCATCTTCTCCCCGAACGCGTATTGCCCCAACTCGTGGTACCGGTCCAACCGCCTCCCGGTCCCCTCCCCCTCCGGCTCGTGCATCTCCACCATCTGCCACAACGTGTACAACGTGATCACCCACGATAACACGAGTGCTGTCACTCCCGGGCCCCTGCATGCGTTTCCAAGAAAATCTACTTAAATAAGACTAAAACAAAGAATGCATACCAACTTGTATTATATTTTGCCATAAAAATATTGTTCTGAATTTCAAGTTTGTGTCATATCAAAAAATAATGGATGAATGACTTTGAATTATAAGCTTTTGGGATGCCCAAAAAAAATACTCTCTCCGTCCAAAAAGATTTACACCTTTCAAAAAAATTGTGTTCCACAATCTCCTACTCATTTCAATTTAAAAACCACTTTTACCCCTTACTTTTTCAAACCCTACCTATCACATCATACCTTTTTCCTAATAATCTACACATCAGATCCTACTTTTACCCATCACATCAAGGGTATTTTTGGGAAGTCAACACAAAATTATTCATTCCTTAATTTCAACTTTAGTCAAAACGTGTAAATCTTTTTGGGACGGAGGTAATATCTATGAGTGTTTGACTTAAACGCACAATATCATAGCTTTACAAGGTTAAAGTGAAATACATAAGAGTCTCACATATATTCAAGATTTATATTTTAATGTATGGAGCATGAGCATGTTTGATTAAATTTAGTCATATTTAACTTTAAATATTTTTGTCAATATTATATACTCTCTCCGTCCTTGAAAATTTTTCTTCTTTCTTTTTTCATCCGTCCCAAAAATACTTATTATTTCTATTAAAAAGTTACTTTTACCCTTTAGTGATTTCATACTCTACCTATCACATTACAACTTTTTACTTATCACATCAAGAACATTTTTTTGAAAGTCAACACAAAAATATCTCTTCCTTAATTTCCAATAAAGTCAATAAGAGAATATTTTTCTCGATATAATACGGATCAAATCAATGCATGAAAAAACAAAGGAAAAAAAAGTAAGGGTACGTAAGCTACGTACCATCCTAATTCGGACATGGCGTAGGGAAGGCCGAGGACGCCGGCGCCGACGACGGCGGTGACATTGTGGAAGGCGGAGTACCACCACTTGGCGCTGCGGGAAGAGGTGATCGGAAGCCACTTGTTGAGATCCGTCTCGTCGGCGGCGGCGTGGGAAGTTGTGCCGCCATGACGGTCATGACTTCCTCTCTCCATATCCATACTAGAAGCCATTGTTAATAATCAATTATCAGTGAGTATCATGAGATTTGGGGGTTCGTTTTATTTTTGGATCTGAATCTGTGGTTTAATGGGAGATTCAATTCGTATTAGGAGTGGGTGTTGGCTGAGGGCAAATCCTATTTCACAACAAACTCTTCATGTTTAGGTCTCTAAATAGAAATTCTAGGGAGTAGTTGCTTGCTTCTAGTATATATATATTGTACCCCTTATAATTTTTGTTTGTTTGTTTTTTTGGCATTTTCATCAAGGTTTGATGTACTTTTAAATACGTAAATTTAATCTTTGTACATCAATTTTAAATGAAATGAATTTAAAAAATTAGTATTTTGTTATATAATAAAGATAGTGAAAAATAATTATGGTATTACTTGAAATAAAATTATTAATGGAAATAAATATATTTAATGCTGAGTTGCGGTTTAATAAATTAATTATGTTATAAAAAATTAGTGAAAGATTAATATAGTATTGTTACTTACTAGTTCTACACTAACATTTTCTAATAACCAATTTTAATAAATTGCATACTTATAAAATAATCACATATTTACATTTTAAATATTCTAAAACAACAATGAACATGTTTAAAATTAATTATCTTAAATATAAAAATTTTTGGAATTCAAATTAAACTAATAAACTTAGCCTATGTTCTTTTGGGTCAGAATTTTAGAGTTGGATTTTTATAAAAATTAGAAGGAGTTGGAAGAAACTGGAAGGATCGAAATTGGAAAATGTTGGAAGAATTTAAATGTTAAAAAGTCACTCAATTAAATGATCATCCAAATAAATTTATAAAAACACTCGGATTTTGGATTAAAAAAATCATCATTGTTTGTGTTTGATGTGATATGTTATAATTTGGATATATAATGTTATTTTATATTCATCATATATAATTACATTTGCTAAGTCATTGGAAGAAAAAATGGAAGGAGTTCGAAAAGGTTGAAAATTAATTTTTCTAATTTAAAAAAAGAGAGTCTTAATCATGCTAAAGACTAAAAATTATTTTTAAAAAACATGGTACAGTGAGTTAATATTTTTCATGACATTTTCTAATATTATACTCCATACTTTCTATAAATGGACACAAGACATTTTAAATTTCAATCAATAAAATAGGAACAAAATTCTTAAACATTGATCTTACATCAATTAATGAATTTAAAAGGAGATTATGTATACACAAAATAATCTTTCGCACTTACTGTTAAATTATAATTTTACCCTTGACACCATATATGTGTGGGGCTGGTTCAGGTAAGAATGTACATTGGTGAAAGAAATAAGAATAAAATCTAGCATTTGGATCTGATGCATCGTGCGGCTCAGATTCCATCCTGTACTCAGATTTTGAGATAATGCATTTTCCAAGGATTTTGGTGCATTTCGACATGACACATTTTCAAACCATTTTGGTGCACCTAATTTTGATGCAATCTTGACCCTTAGATCTCACAATCTAAAGCACCAGATTCATTCTTATTTCTTTCATAAGATCGTATTCTCACCAGAATATGTGTGTGTGTGTGTGTGTGTAGTTTTTTAAACTAAAATTCAAAACACATTGATGTAATTGATATGGAGTGCATATCACACAAATATTTTATATATATTTTTAAATACTAGATAAAATGTTTAAAAAAATTTAAATCAATTTTTATTTATAAGCTCTTTTAAATAAATATTATTTTTTATCTAATGACACAACTCAAGTAAATTAAGTTATATTATAAATTTAGTCAAACATCAATTCTTTATTTATAAACTAAGGATATCTTATTTTATTTACTCATATATTAGTTTTTTTAATTCAATGCCTCAACGTGTGTGTATGTATGTCTATATATATATGTGTGTGTGTGTATGTATATATAATTTATTTATTTATTTCTTTATATATATTTATCCATTTGTTAAAAATGTTTGAACCACTGGTTTGACTAGTAAACCAGTGCCTTGATCGGTCCGATCACCGATTCGGTTCTAAAAACTATGCTTGACACTTCAAAACAAATTAAACTTCTTTTTATCTTAAGGAAAATTCAACTTCTTTTATTTGTAACTAGCATTATACTTGTGCCTTGCACAAGAAAATGTTAATTTTGAGATGAAAGGGAAATGAATTTAACAATAACTTGATAAATATATAATTTATATAAAGAATAAAATTTAAACTTTAAAACTTAAGAAAAGTCTTAATATAAATCATTGTCCAATAATACACATATATATTATATTAGTCTAGGTTTAAAATGCTATTAAACACAAAGAGTACACAAACAACAAAACTATTTTTATTATGAATTCTTTTCTTTACAAATGAATGATATATCTAAACCATTAAGGTCAATTGTCTCTTGATACATTACTCTTGAATCATACAAAGTTCACTTGATAATCAATATTATATTTTATTGAAAAAATGGCGTAAGATTCATAACTCCCATTAAATGTTTAGATATTTTTGAAATTTGTCACAAAAGAGTGACCTTAGTCATATGTTTTATCATTTGTGTCCAAGACGATACATATGATGAATAATATGAGCATTTGAGAATCAAAAGCTCTAATATTTTAGGACCATTCTAGGGTGCCACCACATGGGTGCTACCATGGGTGCACCCATACTTCGCACAGACAAACACAGACGATAATTGTCTGTGCGACACAGACAATTATCATCTGTGTTTGTCTGTGCGAAACATGGGTGCACCCATGATAGCACTAATGTGGTGGCACCATAACATTTTCCAATATTTTAATGGTCAAACCAAAGATGAACAAATATGGATTCAATTTTTGAGTTGGTATTTATTTATTTTTGTTATGTCTTCAATTAAATACTCGACAAATCTTTTACATTTTTAAGTAGTCATTTTGTATTGGATCAAAAAAGCATTTTGGTCTAGTTTACATCAACAATCAATTTTAGCTTGGGTCTATCCGAAAGAAAAACCCAGTATCGCACCGCCGGAACGGTCCTCTCAGGTGCCGGTACGGTACCACCCCCGCCGCCCACAGGCTCAATTCCGGCCACGTTCGGTTTCACAATAAGTTTTCACCAGCAGCTTGGTGGGAAACATACTGCGAACAAGTTTGTGAGGTTTTGAGTCCTCGCGAAGTGCAGAGAGGAGCAGGGAAGAAAAAAATGGAGGCGCTACAGCCATTCAAGCACCTCGTCCACTTCGCTTCCTTGAGGTCAGGCCGCGCCATTCAAATCCGATCTCCATCTTCCCGCTTTATCGTCCGTTGCTGCTCTTCTTCTTCTGCCGCCGCCTCGAGCGCCGCCCTCGGCTCCGCCGCCAGCCCGAACCGGCTTTCCTCGCCCAACCCTAACTCCACCTCCGACAGAGAAGCCATTCGCTCGATCCGCGTCAAGAAGGTGGAGGAATTGAGAATCAAGGGCTGCGAACCCTTCGCTTACAAGTGGGATCGGACTCATGCCACGAATCAACTGCAAGAGATTTACAGAGATCTAATGAACGGCGAAGAATCGAACGGGGCCGGTGATTTCGTCTCGGTTTCAGGAAGAATTATGGCCCGCAGAGCCTTTGGAAAGCTTGTTTTCTTGACCTTGAGAGATGAATCTGGCACGATCCAGCTCTACTGTGAGAAGGAAAGGATTCCAGAAGATCAATTTAACCATCTGAAGACACTGGTTGATGTAGGGGATATTTTGGGAGCTTATGGTTCGATCAAACGCACCGAGAAAGGGGAGCTGTCAGTTTGTGTGAATTCCTTCTCAATCCTCACAAAATCCCTTCTTCCTTTGCCTGACAAATTCCATGGCCTCACAGATGTGGATAAGCGCTACCGGCACCGGTATGTAGACATGATAGCAAACCCTGAGGTGGCTGATATCTTCAGGAAGAGGGCTAAAATCGTCTCCGAAATTCGGAAAACGGTTGAATCGTTTGGGTTTCTTGAAGTTGATACGCCAGTTCTCCAGGGTGCGGCTGGAGGAGCCGAAGCCAGGCCATTCATTACCCACCATAATTCTCTCGGAAGGGATCTTTATTTGAGGATTGCAACTGAGCTCCACCTGAAGCGAATGTTGGTTGGTGGGTTTGAAAAGGTTTATGAAATAGGGAGGGTATTTAGGAACGAAGGCATCTCGACGCGTCATAACCCCGAATTCACCACTATAGAGATTTATGAAGCGTATTCAGACTACCACAGCATGATGAACATGGCCGAAGAGGTTGTCACGAGATGTGCTCTTGCTGTGCATGGGAAGCTCACCCTGGATTATCAGGGTGTGGAGATTTGCTTAGAAAGACCTTGGAGAAGAGAGACGATGCATGATCTTGTCAAAGAAGCTACCCGAATTGATTTCAACCAGTTTGGTAACGATGGTGATCTTACAGCCGTGAAACAACACGTTCTTGAAACAGTTGATGTTTGTCGCGAGGACCAGCAGAGAAGCTGCATTGAAGCATGCCAAACCATTGGCCATTTGCTCAACGAGGTCTTTGAGATGGTGGTGGAACCAAAGCTCCTGCAGCCTACATTTGTGTTGGACTATCCCGTAGAAGTCTCTCCGTTGGCAAAACCCCACAGAAGACACTCGGGGCTAACAGAAAGGTTCGAACTCTACGCTTGTGGTCGCGAGCTGGGGAATGCATTCTCAGAACTAACCGATCCTTTAGAACAGAGAAAGCGATTGGAAGAGCAGGTGAGGCAGCACAACGGGAAAGGAGGCTCCTATGAAGTGACTCTTGATGAGGACTTCCTCATGGCTCTCGAGTATGGGATGCCTCCTGCTTCTGGAATGGGACTCGGCATCGACAGGCTAGTTATGCTTTTAACCAACTCTGCCAGCATTCGCGATGTTATTCCTTTCCCTGTCCTCAAGATTCAACGGTGACATATTTAGTCGTTAAAAACGTATCTCGTGGAAGGGAATGTTTTGTTGAAACCAATGGGTTTGAATCCTTGGTGTTTGTTGTAGGTATTCTATTGTTATTGATGCCAAGAAGTTGATTTTGGAGAATGACTCCCATGCTCCTGTCAGCAATTGCTAGAATTCTTGTAAAACAGAACGACCTTTGTGAAGTGTCATTTTCTGTTTAACATTTTTTTCCCTCTTTATTATCCATTTTATGATCATTTGATGCTATTGAACATTATTGTTCATGTAATTATTAAAATATATTTCGATTATAAATTTAATTCGCACTTGCATCATATCTGTATCTATATCTTTTAAAGCCCACATGTACTTATGAGTGTCGGACTAAAAAAATTAATAGTATAGTGATCTGATTCGACTTGAAATCCTACACGGTCTGCGTCACATCCAATCTAGATATCTGGAAGTCCCTATTTTACCCTTCGTTTGGAGGGAGAGAAAATGCAAAGAAAAAAAATGAGTGGAGAACCCTTGGTTCTCGTTGTAGGTATTCTTCGATTATAAATTTAATTTGCACTTGCATCATATCTAAATCTATATCTTCCTATTTAATTCTTCCCGCCCAAATGAAGAGTAACCTTCTGGTTAGTAATCGTAACCCTAGCCCATTATTCTACCAATCATGGAATAACTTTTAAAATATCAATAACAACAAATGTAATATCGTAAAATCGAGGATTATATATGAAAAAACCCCAATCATAATGAACTATTTATGAGATTTCCTTTTTTTTAATTTCACTTCTCCAAGCAAAATCCCCATTCTATAAAAATCTTAAAAATCAAACACGGTACTAGCTAGACCAATGATTATTGCTAAATTTATGCGACGCGAGCAAAATTTTGGCAAACTTATTTCTTCTCTAGAAATCAAAAGTAGAAATGGGGAAAAGAGAGAGAAAAGAAATCACAATTAAGCGCAACTAAATCTTTGTAGAGACAAAAGAGGTTGGGGAGTTTGCACTGTTAGCCCTAATGAATTTAGTACTACATTAAACAATCACAAAATTACTAAATTGGTAAAAGCATGTGTACAAGACAGAAGAAGTCCCCCAGAACTTACTCTATGGCGTTCCCTGTACCTGTCGAACAACATTTCTTCACTCCGCTGGAGCATAAGATACTCATGCATATCGAACCTCGCAGGGACTTCGTATTTGCAGTCGTTTTCGCTGTCCACTCTTTTCTTGAGCTTGGCCATTTCGTGGTACTTCGCGATTCCGGGACTGTAGCTCCCCTGACTGCCGGAGGAGGAACAACTTCGGTCCTGAAAAGAAGGAAGTTAGAATATCCCCATGGTTATTTAAGGCGCAATGCACCCCAATGCACCAAGGGGGTCTGGAGCCTCGGTGCGCGATGCGCCATTAATGCGCGCGCATCGCGAACATGAGGCACAAGTTATGGAGTAGTAGCATAGTAGCTCTAAATTTAGTAAATTAGCAACAACAACACACACACATCACACATATAATATTGTGAAAGACATACGCGTAATAAACTTTCAGAAAGCAACCAAGAATCAAAGTCACATGCAGTACCATTAACATAAAAAACCTAAAGTTCAAAGAACAAAAGCAACCAGTGGCAAAAAACATGCCACAAACAAATGAGTTGTGGAACATCAAACGATAAGTGAAGCCTCAAATGTTGAGCTAGTCCCTCCGTCAAAGTAGTGTTATATGAAGGGAAAGAATAAGTGATAAACAAAAAAGAGGATGCCTCATGATTTAAAAAAAATTAAAGAACCCATTTACCATGTATGAACCTGAAGAAACAAAACTAAAGAGAAGGAAAAAAGGGGAAGCCTCACAATTAAAACAATGAAAAAAATAAAAAAGAAACAGAAACATGAAGCAAGCAAATAGAGAATCCGAAGAGAGCAGAAGCAAAATTAATGCGTGGTGAAAGCAAAGTCAAACCAGAGAGAAGAAGCCCTAGCGATAAAGTGGCAAAAGAAACAAAGCTACAGAAAGAAACACAGAGAGAAGTGAAAGTTTTGGCTGAGTCAACCCTAAACAAATTATAAATAAAAAAACTTTATCCATGTTCGCGATGCGCGCATTTTATCACATCCAGTCGCATCGCTTATTGCGCTGATGCGCAGGTATGCGCTTGCATAATAAACATGGCCCGCATCACCACGAAGAATGCGCAGAGCCCTGTGCCTCAGGCGCGCTTTTCACAACTATGAACCTCACAAAAAGTAGAGTCTCAAGGTGAGTGTACGCACACCTTACCCTTGCTTGGTAGTGGGTGTGTGGGGGGGCTGTTTCAACTTTCAAGGAGACCTTGACTCAAATACATAAAAGATATGACATTAGTTTCTACCCCAAAAAGATGGTAGATGGAAGGTTAGAAGATTCAAGGGTCAATTATCAATCTAGGGACAAATAAATCCCCAACTGGCCTTTTCTCTTTTTGCAGCTCGGATCACCTTTTTTGTCTTGTATAAAACATGTCTCGCTCGCATTTCCATCACAACTTGAAGAGGCGAGAAATTCCTTAGGAAATGGAAGAAAGAGCACACAATTCAAAAAGATGCTCGATGAGGTTTAAGTCAGTCATTGGTGTGGTCATGGTATGATTCTTCATGCAAATAAAGAAAAAAAACATCTAATGATGCAAGTCTTAATCTACAATCTCACCATTCATTAGTAAGAAGGTTGTAATGGAATAGGCATCCAACAAAAAGTGCCACTATGCTTCTTTCTTTATTTCTTTTGCATGAATTCCTAGTGTGGACTAATAGCAAGCAAATAATTGGGAGTTCGTTGATGATGATGAGTTCTTGTCTTATACAACCGGATGTACAATATTTACTGTACATTCGGCAAATGCACATTTACAAGATATAAAATGCTCATTTTGCACATCTTTTGCACATACTTAGAGTGTATACAATATGAAATTGATGTATGCACATTTAATAATTGCATAATGCTCATTTTGTTGCTACAAGACTTCTAATCTGTGAAGGGATGAAAATGAAATTGCAAAAAATGCACATTTATTTATTTTTTTGACCCATACCCTAGCATGCATTTATAAAATTAGTGTATGCATATTTACAAGGTACACAATGCTCATTGGATGTACACGAAAGTAGGTAAAACCGAATGTACGGCATAATTCTCCAATGATGATGATGAACGGGCACAAAAAAAGAAAAAAAAGAAGTGCAGCACACAACATAGAATTTACCTGTTTTGCATCCCAGATTACAGATTTTCTACTAGGACTAGGAGTCCTGAATTCAGTCTTGCTTGCGGAAGAGCCATCATTGATTGTCTCCCACTTTAACCAGGGTAAAATAACACCATCCATTTCACCAGGACGAAAATCAGATCTTTCTCGAATCTGGTGATTTTCTGCTTCTGCGCAAATTACACCATCCCTTGCCTTCATTATCCCTCCTAAAGTGGAACTTCCATCACTTCTTTCTCCATCAAAAGAAGATATATCTGTGTCTTCCACATTTGAAATGAAATCCTCGAAATATCTCTCAGCTTCCATTGTTAGTTGTCTAGAAAGCCTGCCTGGGTCATTACTCTTCTGAACAAAGTGTTGTAATCATAAAACCAGAGCAAACTAGATCAGTAATTAAAGTTTACTCCATATTTGAAGAATAAATAAAATTTATTAGGTGCATCTTTTGAGTGCCCGATATTAGTTGTCTAATGGGTTTAAGTCATCTCTTAAGATCCTTCTCAACCATTTGAAGTGAGTTAGACCCAATTTTAAAACATCATTGCCTGGTCTAATGGTGGTTTGTGAGGTGTCTGCCTGCTCGATGGTTTAGGGCCTGTTTTGGGATTAGTTTGATTCCATTGATCCCCCCCTAAGTTGCTCAGCTTAGGTTGGGCTGAGGGGTGCGTGAATCGGTTGCCTACAGGGTTTTATTCTAATATATAAATTGTGTACTTAGCCATTTGGGATGCACTGGACCATTTTTAACAGCAACACAACAATCTGCAATCTAAGTAATAGCCTGAAGACACACCTTCCTGCCATTCCTAGTTCGTGATGACTTCATCTCAGCAGCAGAATTTTTTGCGATGATCCTAGAAAGCTCCCTACCCTTTTGATCATCCAGCATTTCAGCTAGAATGTCTTGGTTGTGCTTTTCAGACTGTTGGTTTCACATGTATAAGATCATCAGTTTTTATTTGAAATATTCATGCTGATAAAAGATCAAACAGCTACTTATACTGTGTTTATCTTTAGAAGTTAGAGGAGGTAGCTAGTGCTTTTATTTCATTCCTGGAAAACCAATAAATGCAACTTCTTCAGCCCCGCACTCCATTAGTAATAACAAGATACAAACAAAGAACATAAGCTAGGAGAAACAAACCTCTTCCAACCTTGCAACATAAGTGCTTCTAATGGCAGAATCCAGCTGAGAGTGGTTGCCACTCTTCCTTGTCAAGCCCTGTATAAGTTGCAAAAATGTACTTAGTACCATATATAAAGGATACATCAATGATTGGCAAGTAAAGTCTATAGAGAATTGTTTTTAATTGAGTGGTGTCTTGGACCATACTTGTTCAAGTTCAACTTTGAATTCTTCAACAGCATATCTAAGTCCTTTCTTCATTGCTTCATATAACCCACTATTTATGTCATCTTGAGTAGGGTGTTCAGCCTGTGAAAGAAAAAATGAGTCACATAAGCATCATAAGACACCATGGTCAGAGTGTCGGCAAAACGAAATGTCCTAACCTGTTTCTGGGAATAAACAGCATGAATGATTTTCTCATTCAGACTTTTACCAGAATGGTCTTTTAATTCATCATCTGTTAGGGCAGAAGAGTGACTCTGAAACAAAAGAAAGATGAAATTGGGATCCACAAACAACTGCAGGAAGGTGGAAATTTACATCCAAGGAATGACAATACAATAGGGAGTTAGTCAGAAGGGAGAAAATTCAAACGGTCAGCTGAGTGAGGTTTAATAAAGCTGGTTTATTATTTCTAAGAAAGTAGTCATTTCTTACAGAGTATCCATCATGTAAACGCGAAGGGTCTTTTTGGTTTATTGGCCTTCTCGATCGTGGACCATTCACAGCTGTTGACTTATATGAAGGAATCCCATTGTTTGTATTGCCGAGACTCTTGGTGGTACCCAGGGTTCCTTGTTTGCGAGAATGGTCAGCATCACTCTGCAATGTAAAATAAATACGATTTGTCAAAAAGTCCATCTTCTTTGACTAAGGCAGAAAACATGGGCAGCTACTTATGATTGTAATTATATTCTTAAATCAAGCATGTCCAAAAATACTAAATTCTACAGTCCTGTAGACATTAAAATAACCACACATTAGGTTCATCTTCCCCTTTTCTAAAAACAACTCCTTGAGTGCCCATCTATAGGTTTCACCTATACGGCTACTCAGCGGGGGTTTGCATACTGTTAAGCTAAAGACCCAGCTCTGTGTTTTTTCCTTTTTCAAGTGTATCGATTCTGAATGTGTACACATTTCCATAGATTTAAACCTTTTGAGTAGAAAGATACACAAGAACTGATTCAGAATCTCAGGAACCTCATAAATCGCATGCACAATGACATCAAAATATGGAAACTTGCATTTTTAATCCAATTCCTGCACAATCAGCCATTTGGGGCCACTGTTATCAGATTTTATGCATATCATCTATTATTAATCCACATGGCAACAAAGACTTCACATCCTCATCTTAACGTTATCGTTCCTTATCATCATTTACAGAGTATTTTTAATACAAGTTCCATATCATTATTAGCATCACTAAATGCATAGTCAATGACACGGCAAAATCTCACACCAAGCAAAACTTAGAAATCAATATTCATACTTTCTTGGTGTATCATTTTCTATATAGTGTCTTTGTATATGCTTCCAAGAGGAAAACTATAGGATGCTAAAAATTGTTTTTTTGGGAGGAAATAAGAGTGGAGGAAAAGGTAAATCCGTAAGATTCTTTTGTTGGGGTGGAGGTTGGTGGTGCACGGTGCACAAAACATAAAAAATATTTGGCTTAATTTTGAAGGAGAGGAAAAGAATGTGTGGGGAGTTTATAAAGATCCCTGACTCCCTTAGTTTGGGTTTCCTTGAAATAATGAAATCCCAGTCCTCCCTGATTTAATTGCTGAATTTCTATATTCTCACTGCAACAGTTTTCCCCATTCTTATAGGAGGAGAGTACATAATCAATGTAAACAAAACTGCATAAGTAAAGTATAACAGGAACCATAGTCCTCTCTCCAAACCCAACAGAAAGGAAAAAACTAGAAGTCTAGAACTAACTACCTAAAATTCCAAGCCAAGCAATCTAAGTGTACAGCTTGCAACAGCAATAGGCCCATAAACAACTCTTGTGCTGCTAGTGCAATAATTATCCACTACCACGAGTCTCAGATGGGGGTGGGGTTAACCCTTCCCATCAAATAGTTTCTTTGCTAGTTCATCTTTCACTCTCAATAACTCCTATTTCCCTTTCCATCTCTTTCTTTCTCTCCTTCAAACATGACTTTTCTTCTCTATTATTTGTATGTCCTACATTCTCTACAAATTTCTTCCCTCCCACCCTGTGCCCATCCGAGCACAACATGTTCATGCGTACAGTGGAGTTGCATGGTGATTGCAACAGGTGCACTCTCAAGAAGTGCACCAACAAGCCAGTTGATAAGGTTGCTCATCTGGATGCTATTGTTGGATATACAGATTCTACAAAACCAGTCCAGTCCTGCCATTGGCAGGGAGTGCACTACCATCCAGTGTGGGAGGAAACTCCAAAGAGTGTGAGCATGTGAGAGCCTTATGGTTTTACTTTTCAATCCAAGACAGATGGAGTAGGTGATGATTGGTGAGATTTAACAACAAGATGAAGATGGAATCTTGAAGTTCAATGGTCTTATGACGGTTTGTGTTGATTTTTTTTTGTGGCAAATCAAGTGTCTTTAGCTTTGAAAGAGAACAAGAGTGTACCAAATAGTCAAAACAGTTGAAACTTGAACCAGACTTTAAGAAAGTTGTTGAAAAGTACAAAATATGTGGTTAGAATTTGTTTAGAGAGAGAATTCTTGATAGCCACAAAATCATTACCAAAATAGGGAATAAAGTAGGTATAAGATATTTTTAGGACATCCAAAAAAGGAAAGTGGAAGGAGTTTTATGGGAAAGAGGGAATAACACTTAAGAGAGAGTGATAATAACTACTACTCCCTCCATCCCGAAATAAATTCACGGAGTTTAAGAAAAGTGTTGAAAAGTAAGTATGCGATTGAAAAGTGTTTAGAAGATAGAGAAAGCTTGTGAGCTCCTGTTGTATTCTTTAATAGGAAAAGGAGAAGTGTGAAGTTTATTTTGGGAAGGACAAAAAAAGAGGAAAGAGTGAAGTTTTCTTCAGGGTGGAGAGAATATATAGTTGAGATAAAGAAATGCAATGATAGAAGACAGGAATACTGGAAAGTGTCTAGAGATGGCCTGATAGTTAATGAAAAGAGATGAAAGTAATCAAGCTCGATAGAACTTGTGGGTTTATTTTCTAACCTTCAGGTAGCATTGGTGAATATTAGTACTATTACCGCATAAATAAACAGGCACACATTTGTTTAAAGGAAATTATCATACATTTCAACATTCTAATGAGAGCAAACTGAAACGCAATGCTAAAACAATATGCTCTATAACCACATCAGCAAGCCGCAACTCTACGAACTTATAGAAGTGCAAACAATGTCAATATAATGCCATTGCATCTTAGCAAACAATGCCGGTTGCATGTACGATGTGATGCTGAGTTTTCAAACCATGTTCAAATATGGCTAAAAAGGTTTTCACTTAAGACCAAGCTTCTAAAAATTGTTAGGTGGTAGTCAGGTGGGGCCGTTGTAGGCTTGTAGCCCACCTTCTAGGAGACTTCTCTTGCTTTTTTATGTACGTAGTGTTGTTTTATTTGTTGATGTTTTTTATAACTTTTAGTGATGGAAATAGTGCATGTACTTCCTAGAAGTTATGAGGCTGTTTACTGAGCAGAAAGGTTTGAAATATGAAGAATAGAAAACAGAAAACATTTTTACTTCACTAGTTTTTCGACTATAAAAAGAAAAAGAAAATTGCTATCTTGTACATTTCAGATTTTCTAGAAAGCGAGAAAGCACTTCTTTATGTTTTCTAAAATGAAATACCGCGTTCTTTAGGTCTCAGTTCGGCATTGATCCAAGTTATGAGATTTTTGGTTTAACGATTTAAAAAAACCAAAGATTTTTGGAGTATATGACATAGATCGCTTACTTAACTAAATAGTTATTTTAATGCAATTATGCTAATCATATTAATTTTGAAAATTGCCAAACAAAAACCATTTTTTTCTAGTCTTCATAATCATGCTCCAGCTTTCAAAAAAATGGGAAATAGAACGAAGAGGGCAATACTAAAGAATCCTTATAAGTACAGCTAATCATCAATGACAGCTACATACAGGCCCCGCTATTAGACATGACAACCGCCTCCATTGTCACTAACCACCGCCGGTGAACTGTGGCAACTGTCAAACAATGAGTTTACATTTGAGCAGTGAAGTTATAACTTCAAGCACCCTCAGTATAATAAACTTTGTAGATCATGTTTTATCACTCTAAGGGCTATACAAGGTAGATTGACTGTTTCCAAACACATAAAAAATATGAAACCTTCCCCGACACAGTTTTGAGTATTCAGAGAATTAGGTAAACACTAGTGGAGCTTAGCAACTTGAACCGTTTGCAATTAGAATGTGATTGAAATTAATTCAGACAAGCCATACTCCATAAAGTTAGAAATTCAAACTCTAATTAGCAGAAGAAAGAACCCTCACCTCAGAGTCGCTAATCTGATACCTAACTGACGAAACAGATCGCCGCCTCCTGGAATTGCTCTCAGCCTTCTCAGGAAGACCATTACTAACCCGTGAACGATCAGAAACAATGCTCTTCCTATCTCCACTATTCCTCGAGCTTTGCCTGGACACTGACCTCCCACGCCTTTGTGACGACGCCGTTTCGCTCGCCCAACGACCAATGTCGGAGCCCCGCCTGGCCGAGCGAGCATGGTCCGGATCACTGCTATCAATCTCCTCATCCCTCCTGGAGAAAAACTCCTGCGCGAGATCATCGAGACTGATCTCCGGAAACGCCGAGCCGGAGCCGGAGCCTCGGACAGTGTTCACGAATTTTCTCCTAGGAGTGGGCTCAAAACCTGAGCTGGCGGCAGCCTCTGGTGGTTCCTCACCGAACGGAAGCCTCCGCGAGAACCGGCTGAGACTCCTCGACCGGCGATTAGCTCGATTCCCGGAATATGAGCTGGTGGATGAGGAGGAGCAGGAGGAGGAGACCTCGCCGGAGACGCCGCCGATGGGAGCTCTCTTGGTCGTCGATTTGAAAGCAGAAGTCGCCATCCGTGGGAATCCTCAGCGCATTAACGGCCTGAAACCAGAATTAGCCGGAGGAAGAGGGTAATTTGGCGGAGGAATCAAAGGAATCCTCTACGTTTTGAAATTGGGAGGAAAAAAAGTGAAATTTGAAATTGGCGTTACGAGTTGGGCGAGTTAATTCCATTTATGCACTTCGCCTTCAAGTCTTCAACATTGAAACCCAAGCTTTCCATTTAAACTCAAAACAAGATAATCGGCCCTTCCAGGTCCACCTCCTACCAGCTACTTGAGAAAGATGACACTCTATTTTCCAGGTCACCTCCTTCCAGGTCCACCTCCTACAAGATAACTTTTTAGGTCTCTCTAATCTAAGAAGACATCAGAGGTCCTTACATTTTGTTGTAATGACTGAAAGGGGACATTTCATCTAATATTTCATCTATAAACGTTAATAAATGTATTTTTTTCCTATTCTTTTCTAAATGTTTTAAGGTAATAAATCTTAAGTCGCTCCTTTTTTTATTTCTTTGTTTTTCTTTCATTTTGTTACTATTTTTTAAAGTGTTATTTTAAAATTTCTTCTATAAAATCGTATAAAAATTCAAAATTGTTTGTATTATATTAAAACAAATGAAATAAAAAAATTTAAAAAAAGAAAAAACAAGGTAATGACAAAATAGGAAAAAACGGTATTGGAAAAATAGGGGGAAATAATACATTTATTAACACTTACGGATGATGTATTGGATGAAATATCCCCTCCCAGTCATTACAACAAAATATAAGGACCTCGTTTGTCTTTTTGAAAATAGATGGACCTGAAAGTTATTTCGAAAAAACTCGCGTCACCCGCGAGTAATTTTCTGTCTATTTTCAAATAAGAAATGAGACATAAATATTTGTCCAATTCGATTTTTTTGAACTAAATTGAACAAATTATAAGTTTTAATTACTCTCCATTTACATTGCGTATTAATATAATAAAATAAAATTTAAAAAGTTCTCAATACAAATGGATATTGTCGGTGTGTGCATGTGGCAAACATGGTGTACAAATGAGAAAAATTTCAGTTTGCTCCTACTCCTCCTAGCACAACTCAAAGGAAATTGTTAATAAAATTTAATTGTGTATTGAAGATATACAAATAAATGTTCATAATGTATAGAATCTTTGCATAAAAGAGGACATTTAAATAATACGGTATTCAATATAATCATAAACTAAATGTTAACTCGTCTATCTGTCAAATTTCCGTATTTATAGTTGTACGTTTCAATTTTTCTTCATGATTGTATCATACTTTTTTTTTCTCTACTCTCGAAAGCTTTTGTTTATTTGTGTGTGTTCATTTATTATTCAATAAAATAAAATATTCTAATCACATCTTATTCTGTAAAACTTTTGATGTAGTTTTTTAATATGTGATTTTTATTTTTTATCGATATACCAATTTTTAATAAAATGATTTCAAAAACTGAAAGATTTTACTTCGTAAATCCCAATTTGTAATCAAATTTTGGATGGATGGAGTATTTCTTTTGAAGAGGAACGTTCTATCCTAAGTGAGAACGACTAAAATAGGACTAAAATATTAAAAAGAGTAAATTCTAAAATTGGTCCTTTATAACATAGGGGTTTCCATATTTAGTCATCTATTATCAAATATTACCTCCGTAGTCCTTTTTTTAAGAGTACCTTTCCAAAAATAGTTCTTTTTTTATCTTCTGCTATGTTGGTGTTAATTTTAAGGCTAAAAGTATAATTTGACATCAACATTATGTCTAGTGACGTGTTCAGATATTGATTAAGCGGATAACTTAAAAATAATGACTATTATTGCGGGCTAGGATTCTGACAAAAGACCACATTTGTAGAATATGGTTATAGTAGAAAGCGACTATAATTCACAAACGACGCAAACGGAACGCTCTTTGGAATTGTGTATGACAAAAAAGATACTCCCTCCGTCCTAAAACTTTCTTCCCGTTGCGCAAAACGAAGAAAAATCCCAAGTTTTTTCAATCTATTTTATTTAAATATTGGTATAGAAATAAAAAATAAAACATACATATTTAAAAACTACATCAAAAGTTCAACAAAACGAGTGGTGACAAGAATATTTTATTTTATCATATAGGCCATGAAAAAACACAAATAAATATAAATCCCCGTGAAGTTGGAATAGTGCTCTCGGAAGAAAGTTTTAGGACGGAGGGAGTATATTATCATTGTGAAATTACACTTTTAGCCCTGAAATTAACATCAACATGATAGAAGATAAAAAAGGACTATTTGTGGAAAGATACCCATAAAAGAAGGACCACATGGGTAATACTTGATCATAGAGGACTAAATAGGGAAATCCCTCTGTTATATAAGATCAATTATGGAATTTACTCCATTAAAAATATACCAAAATAAGATTTCCATATTTTTATTACCGAAATAGGACTTAAAATTCATTTACATTACCAAACATGGTCATATACATTACCAAAAAGTATATGTAATGTGCACGTGTACAGTGCCACATTACCACAGTGCGAAGTCCTATTTCGAAAAAAATACGTAAGTCCTATTTTGGTACTTTTCTCTATGTTTTAGTAATATTTAGGGTGATTTCAATTATCCTAACTACTCCCTTCGTCTTAATCTAAATCGCCTGTTTCGGTCTATGATATTTGACTAAAGTTATTTTCAAATCATTTTTATATGAAAAATGTTGTAGAATCAAAACATAAAAATTACATATTTAAAATTTTGATAAATATATCTACAAAAGTAGTGGTGACATGACTATTATTTTATCAAATGACTTATGAAAATAGAGAAAGAAAGTAAAAGAAGTTTAAGCATATAAATAATAAATAGACAATTTAAGTTGGGACAGAAGTACATTGGAAAAATATTAATGGCATTTTTAACTTTAAAATCAAAAAATTACTTAAGATAAATAAAAAAGATAAAGGCCCCCAACTACTTTTGTGGTTTAAAGTAAAATTTTAATTTTTTAGAAACATTTTTTATTTTAAGAACCCAATCAAGAATATTAAAGCCTCCATTAAGTCTAGTTTTCCCTATAAAAGAAAAAATGATGAGCCCATTATCAAGCGTTCCCTCACACCTAGCCGGACGTACGGTCCATGAGAAAATGACATATTGAATTTTGATCGCAGATTAGATTTTGCACCTAATATTTTGATCGCAGATTAGATTCAGACATGACAAGCTATTAAGGTTAGATTTGTACCCCACACAACTTAAAACAAACATTGCTACTCATAATATCTGTTAACATATATCCAAGTGATTAAGGTTAAACACTTGTACCTACTCACTTAAATACACATCACTAATACTCAAATTATCTGTTAAGATCAAATTTAGGTTAATAATTAGCACATCAAGGCTAACAAATTCTAGCTGGTTTCTTGAAAAAATGCATGTGCTTAACAGTGCACATCTAGGTTGTAATATAGTGCACCATTTTTCTTGTTTGCATTTTTCATGAGAAGACTACTTTATATTAATATATATCCAAGCTAATTATCAAGCCATTCATTATTAATCATGGGGCAGCAACCATTGTTCTTACCATCTCCAGCAGTAGCTTGAGCTCAGTCTCCAAGTAAACTTTCTCCTCCTGTGAAATGATCCCGCGGCGTTTCTTCAGCATACATTTGAGAACGGTGATGTTTCGCTTGATTGAACCGAACAAGAGAATGTCCTCGTACCCAGAGTCCGAGGGAAGCACGGGTTCTGGATTTGGAGCCATCAATGGAGCATCCGAACAGGGACGGAGCACTAGTGTACTACCTTCAGATGAAAAGAAGTTTCAGTCTTTTTTGTCAAATAAAAAAGGGGTTACAATGGACAAAGATTTTAATTCTTTTACCAATTTCAGAGCTTGTATAGGGAAATGATAGATGCTTGCTCTTCTTCCTCTTCCTTGGAAGAGGACTCCTCTCATGTTCTTCTTTATTGGGAACTTTCAAATTGTCAAGAGAACCATCTTCTCTGCACCCAATGGCCATAGCCTTCATTTTCTTCAAGCTTTTATCATCTGCAATGGCCATAGGATTCCTCTTTTCTTTCCTTCGGCAATACACCTTATTATCAGCAATCACCGGGCACTTTATTATAGGAACCTGCACTATTGCGGCGTTGAGATCAATCGTGTCAGAAGCAAGAAATGTGGACATGTCTTCAAGCCCTTCAATGGGTTTCGGTTCGCGAAAACAGCACAATGGGTACCCCCCCTTTGCGCGGTAGAAAGCAGATAGCCACTTGGTCAAGACAACAGTCTCCATCTTAGGAAGCGAAATGGCCTGCGCAAGGTTCCTCAACATCACAAGAACCAAACGAGCTTCGTATCTAGGCAGCGAAAGCTTGCGGGTATCACAATTCGGCACAAGAACTCGCGCCTTGATTCCAGCATTCCCAGCCAATGGCCTACACTTGCAAGTGCTCATTTCCAGCTCCAATAAGGTCCCGATCTCAGCAAGGGACTTCTCCACAGCATTGAGGAAGCTCTTCACGCCGCTCTGCCCTGACATTTCCTCAAAGCTCTCCGCGAAGGGCTTCAGCTGTGACGGGAGACACCAAGAGAAGGAGCTGTCCCCAAAGTAAACCACAAGCAGCCTACCAGGCTGCCTGTACTTCAGGGCAAACTCAGAAGCATTAGAGGGGTCATAAATCCGGCCTGGCCACCACGGGCGCCACTTTACTTGCCCCCAAACAAAGTCGCCCACCGAATAAGAGTCCTTAACCATACAATGATCAGCTTCCTTCTCTGCTCCTCCTTCCTTGTTCTCCCCAGATTTAGTGAATCCGAGCTCCATTGCCGGCTCTCTCAAACCTTCAGCCAACGGCCTGTTCTCCATATACCCATCAGCAGCATCAACCGGGAAAGATTCCACATTGGGAACACTCTTCAAATACCCAGTACTCTCATCCAACATTGGCACCAAACCAAGGATTTTGGGAGTGTTGGGTTCCGAAAACCCAAAGGTTAGGGGTTCATCTGTCTTCTCCGGTTCCATTTTAGGGTAAAACACTTCAAAGAAAGCTTCTTTATCTACTTCCTCTGAAAGGGCGAACAGATTATTAGAGAAAAAATATACGAAAAAATGAGAAATCTGGGCAGAAATGCAAACATATAAGTATAATCCAAGAAAAGGGACCTACCACTTTACCAGCAAAGAAAAGTAGAAAATGTGGAGAGGGAGAGAGATCAGAGGTGGTTCTTGAGCTCGTTAGGGTTCTTGGGGTTTCCCAAATCCGACGAAATGATTCAAGAAAGCTTTGGAAGATTAATGGGCCATTTTTGTGTTTTCATCAGCTTCTTGATCGCCGTTGAGACCGCTGGGCAAAGCAGGGTGTTGGGTTTTGGCGTTTCCGCTGCACAAAAGCTGTCCAATGTGGAGATTCCTCAGAGCATCAAATCATTTATTACGGCTAAAAAGGGTTGTTTTATTCACTCGGTAATTATGAATGTTGTACGAAAAATAGAAATAGGCTCGTACACTTCCTAGCTACAAGAAGACAGGATACTACGAACCCACAATTTGAACGACTGTACCACCCCGGCAAAAAAATGAAAAAAATAAAATGGGAGTGGTTCTTGAGACCGGTCTGGTCTTCTTGAATTCTTGAACATTTTTATTATTTTCGTCTCTAAAAGGTTTTTAATTTTTTTCGATCACAATTGATAAATTTTGACTACAAATTAAATAAAAGTGATGATTTATATTTTTTTAGAAATCACAATATATAGGAGTAAACATTGAGAAAGTACTAAAATAGAAATTACACATTTTTATTTCCAAAATAGAAGTTTGTACTGTATATTAATATTTTTATATTAATATTTCACAATACTTTTTGGTACTCCCTCCGTCCCCAATTTGATTATAAATTGCGGGTTACAGAGTAAAATTTTCTATTTTTTGAAATCATTTTATTTACAAATTGGTATATTAATAAGATATAAAAATTACATATTAAAAAACTACGTCAAAAGTTCTACAAAACAAGAGCTGACAAGAATATATACCATTCTCCCACTTGGAGGCTTGATAAACATCAACTGCCATCCGCCACGATCGCCTATACATCGAGTAATCTTCCTCAGCTCTCCTGTTGCAGCGGCCCTATCATCAGACAACTGAAAGGCCCGTTGAAGGGCCCAAGCTCCAACACATCAGTCACGGCAAAATCTGCCCCTGACTCGTCCTCGGTCCCTACCGGCTCCCACTGCAGACGCACACTGCCGGATCCTGGAACATCCTGAGAACAAACACTCTCCATACTCAGCAAGAAATTTTCTGGAGATGTTCCAACAGCTGGAATACTGGTTCTCCTGACCCACTGTCTTCTAGGCAACTTGGCTGAAGCGCCTCTTGAGCTCCCACTGCCA